CTTTTTGTTGAATTTGCAAACTTCATTTCAACTTCACGTTGTAGTTGCCGCCGACTAAGATTATCCAATGTACCTCCATCATCTTCATCGGCTGAGTCTTCATCGGTGAGAGCATTGGGATCAGGAGGTTCAATGAAAATTTCTTCGATAGACCATATCTAATGCCTCTTGTAATGTAAAACCCGCCCTGGAATCAAAATACGACATAGGTTGAAAAAGTCCAGTTCCAAATATCTGAAAGCCTAGCGTTACTTATTTGTAACATCAACAAACGAATCCCCCATAGCTAATCCTGTTTTGGCAAACATCAAATTCAACATATACTACATGCGAAATACATTTTTTGTACCCACATATTTGATAATGATAATAAATAACTGACAAATTAATTTTATCTAATACTTACTCGAAGCGAATGTCCATCTCATCGTTCCTGCTCATGCTTAACTTCAGAATAACTCGAAAAAAGTGAACCCTACAGCTGTACTATCACCATGCAACTGAACGTTTTGATATTTCGACATTCGAAGATGTGGTATATAATGCCATCTAGTGAAAAATCTCATAAATAGAGCAACTATTGCAATTAGAACGCAATAAGTAACGCTAGGTCATAATGAGTTAACTAACAGACACCACTTCACCAAAGAATATATATGCTAGTGGCCCAACTGCTACCCGTTATTGGATCCTATCTACCTGTTGTTAAAACCTATAATTTGTTATGTATTTCCGCTATGTTAGTGATTATCTCTAATATCTATCTGTTTTTTATTCATAATTATTACGTATACGACCAAACAAAGGCCTGGTTCTAAATAGGACTTTTGTCGCTATTTATATAACTTATTCCACACTCCAAGCTATCGAAAACATCCAGAAACCTGTTGATATGTACCGGTCTCAACAATTTAAATATATATCACTTATTCTATGATCATTCGCTATGACATGTAGAACGACACTAGATTTCTCTGGTCTCTAAAACCGAACTTGCGAAACATATTCCTTGTAGCAAGCTAATATAGTCCGTTTGGTTTGACCAACATATTTCTCATCACAATCCTCGTAGCTTATTTCATAAATCTCCGACTTTTCTTTTTCCAAAGTCTTGTCTTTCGGACTACCCAACACTTGTTGAAGTGTAGGTGCAGTTTTAAAAGCCACTCTTATATTCAATTTTTGACCAACCCATAGGTGTATTTGGGTTCATATGGAAGCACTATGAATTTTGAAACTTTCTCTTTTCGAAAAGTCCAGGCATTACGAAGATATTCCTTAAATTTTTGTTTTCTTAATTTATCCACTATATTTGATGGATACCCGTTGCTTTCAGCCACTTCCCTAACAACTTCTTTCTCAATCTCATACCTTTTTCTGCTCAAGAGAAATGTGAGCAGTCTATGGACAAGAAATTTTAATCCCGCCATTTTTCTGTGGAAAATGATAGGAGCTGTCAGGGATATACCTCAAACTCAAGACCCTCAAATATTTTGAAGGCTTCAACATCTTGAGCGATCATCAATATGGCTTTCGGAAACAAAGATCAACAGGCGACCTTCTATTATATGTCACCCATATTTGGAATAACGCAACATGGAAACATGGCTTGTCGTATTATTTTTGTTTATGGCTCTCAAGCTTCCTGAAAGAACGTTTCCTGCAAGTGGGCGTCGATGGATGTCTCTCGAATACTTTTACAATCAACGCTGGTGTTCCCCAGGGATCCATATTGTATCCAATCCTCTTTTTATTTGTGTATTAACGACTTATTGGAATGAACCGAGAATCCAATATATTTCTTTGCTGATGACAGCACACTTGTCTCGTCATTCCATTTGGATTTTAAGGATGTTACATATTTTAAAGAGGATCTAGAAGTGATTTCAAATTGGGGTGAAAGTAACCAGGTTCAATTCAAGACCATACAAACCCAGGTATCAGTTTTCTCCAAGAAGATAAATGTTTCCGAACCGAATATAATTAGGTCAAGTCAGACAATTTCGCTTTCTGCTTCGATAAGTCTGTTGGGGATTAAAATGGACACCAATATGACTTGGCACAATCATGTTGCTGGAATTGCAAAGGCTGCTTCTCAAAAGCTTGAACGCAGTTTCGCAACAGAAAACTGTACACTCCTCAGCAACTTTTGATGCTTTATAAAGCTCAGATCAGACCTTCTTTGGAGTATTGTCCTCATGTATTGAGCTCTGCCCCAAAACATACCCTGAAGTGGCTGGATTCCATCCAGAAAAGAGCCTAATTGGCCTGATTGGTGCATGTAGTAAGTTTTGAGAAAACCATTCATTCATTGTAGAAACTACCCTATTACATTCCTACCCTATACATTCTTGCAAAGGACGATGTTACAAACAGCTTCATCGGACCTGTCATTGTCATCGCTTTAGGCTTTGCCAAACAAACATTGAACACCTGGATGGCAAGAAGATTCATGGACTGCTGGCAGAATCTTCCAAGATTGGCTCACTCCAAGGCGTTTATTCACCTTCAGAAGCTTGATACCAAACAGTTGTTGGACTACAGTAGAGATGAACTACGATGTCTAACAGGCCTTCTTACAGGTCACTGTCATTTGAATCATCATATGCAGAGACTCGGACTATCGAAAGACAGGGTGTGTCGCCTCTGTTTGGAAAATGATGAAACAGCAGAGCACATACTTTTTGCCTGCCCCGCTGGGGACCAAATCCCCAAACCAAAGGTTTTTAGAGTTCGGCAGAGCCTTACTCATACCATCTGACCTGAAAAACCAGTCACCATAGAAACTAATCGGCTCCGTTAAGAAGCTGGCTTTATCTAGTTAAGTGTGAATAAGTGTGAGCCAAAATAAACCCTTGCGGATTGCCGTGGAGGATCAAATAGGCCCACTCACTTTGGTCCTAACGTGACCACACCCTATTACATTTGTTAACCCTTTCACTCCTGTAGGGACACATATGTCCCAACAGTTGTTCATAAATTTCTAAAACGGGATCCTCATATCGAAAACACGTTGCGCTGGGACACATCAGTGCTTTATAGTGTTGCGTAAATATCCTGCGATGTGGCAACCTCGGCAAATAAAACGACGACCAGTCGAGCACGTTCTGCGAGTCTGTTTACATGTAAACTAGCGTCCAACTTACTATTATTTACATTTACTGTAGTTTATTTCCATTATTTTGTGCTGATTTGTAGAAATTCAGTAACGCAAAGCGCATAGGTAATTAATTTTACAAAATTTTTAATCAAATAATGGTTTAGAGTGTTTTATCGCATGTATTATCTCTGGGTTATATATGTCCCAACAGGTACGTATACTGGGACATATGTTTCCCATTAGGTTAGTATGCACTCCTAACCTCTTCTTATATTGCAGCATGAGTGCCAGAAGAAAAGCCCTCACAGAGGACGAACTAGCATACTTTGTTGATAACTTGGATGAGATAGAGAGTGAGGAAGATTCAGATCGCTCCGAGCCATATGGTAGTGACGACAGTGTGCAAGATAGAAATGTTTCTTCATCATCTGGGTCAGAAGAGAGTGAAAGTGACTCTTCTGATGACGACAACGAAGACATACAGATTCCGAATGCTGCCGCAGACACTGAAGATAATCAACAGCTACCCAATGGGAATATCTGGTGGACTACAGTGAACAACAATTTTGTTCCTAGGAAAACTATACCGCCTACAGTAAAACCAATTATCCAGTGTGGTCTAAATCGTAGCAGTACGGAATTAGATTGCTTTCTAAAAGTCTTTCCAAAAAGTTTGTTTCTTTATATAGCCCACTGCACAAATCAAAGACTAGAGATTCTTGAAAAATCTATAAAAAAAAAGTATGAAAAAACCAATGCCAGAGAAATTATGCTAGTTACTGGTGTCTGTTTGATTATGCATTATAATAGAGTTCCGACATTTTCCATGTATTGGTCAAATAATGCATCTCTTGGTAACGAAGCGATAAAAAATGCCATATCTAGGGATAGATGTCAATTACTTTTATCAAAATTATATTTCAACGAATCTGAAAAGCTTGACAATTCGTCAAAGACCTACTATATGGATGAAGTTTTATCGTGCTTCAAAAGAAAATTTCCTCAAGCAAGAAGCGACTCAACGTTCCAGAGTATCGACGAATCCATGGCAAAATTCAAAGGCAGATCGTCTCTGAAACAATACATGCCCCTAAAGCCAATAAAACGTGGAATAAAAATATGGACAAGATGCGACTCGTTGACAGGCTATGTGTATGATCTAAACATATATAGTGGTAAGGAGACTGAATACTCTGAAGGAACTCTGGGTGAACGGGTGGTAAAAAAGTTGACCTCTTCAATTTGCCAAACAAAAAACGTAGTTCTCTGTTTTGACAGGTTTTTTACACATCAGTCAAGTTGATGAATGGACGGATCAAATCAATGTAGGTGATCATTTACCTGAAAGCGGTCCCACAAGAAGAAAATGCTATCGTTGCTCTCAAAAAAAAATTGAAAAGAGAACCAAACTCTTGTGTAGAATGTGTAATTTACCATTGTGTTTAGATTGTTTTACACCATACCATACTTAAATAAATCACTGTTGGGACAAATATATCCCAGCAAAAAACCCTGTTGGGACACTAGCGTCCCATACTTTAAAAAAAACTATTTATAATAAAAATAAATAACGAAATTTTTTTGTTATTTAACCCACTTTTACACATTTTTGCCAAATTTCAATAAAAAACCATTATGAAATCAAATCCGTATTGAAAGGGTTAAATGTAGACTGCCAGTGAACTCTCACGAAGAATTTCGTCAGTGAAAATGTTTGCGTTGTCAAATTTCAATTCGACTGGGGTGAAAACTAAAGTTGACGTATTTCACGAATCTTCACAGCATCGATATCAAATAACCCATGCAGGGAGGTTTGCTTCAGCTGGATTGCATTGCATGCAGTCACTGTTATTTTGAAACTTTGACATTTCGAAAGGTTTACTCTGAATAAACAAACTTAGAACAATACACATCATTTTATTATTGCCATTTATACATCTAACAAGAAAAGTGCATAAACTTGAAAATGATCAATATGAAAGGTACTCCTAAACTGATGATGTATGAACTACTGATTCTGCCTCCCTTCAGAGGCGACTTTTTGATATCTGCTTCATCAATTTTACCACAGAGTCCCTTGTAGTGTGTGTTACAAGCAGTTCCACTCGGGCACTTGCTGCACGCAGTGCCTTTAGTATAAACTGGACTGCCGATTAAATTGCCAGCAATACCATAATTGCAGGCTAAATAATAATTGTTTCCTTTTTTAGCTCTAGCGCATCCCACATGAGTTGATTTGGCCCATACAAGTTGTGTATAGTGTCCTATAGTTTTGGTCGATGAAGAATAGCTCGTGAGGGCAGCTTCTGTTGTGTATTGAACCTCCTCGTACCAATTCTTTATAGCATTAACGACATTATCTTTGGTATCGAGTGGTTTGCCAGTTGAGGTGTACAGATTCTGGCCAGCCGATTCGAATTTTTTCGGTCTTCTGCATTTGTCGTGCTTGAATGTACAAAGATTCACATTACATTGAGCGGTATATTCTAATTCCAGATCGAAGGATAAGGTCATCATATCAGCCGCTGCCGCGTTTCCTCCTCTGGTTTCCTTACCAGTGGCTACTTCATTTCTGAGTCGGTTGTGTTCTTCGACGTACCATCGCCGGAACTCTTCGTTCAGGGGCATTATGGTACATCCACTTGCTCCGCTACAGCTTTCTTTTCTCTCACAAACTATATTTGTATATTTACCGCAACTCGGCCACTTATCCTCACATGCTGATTCACACAACTTGGAAGCGATAAGAATACAAAGAAGTTTCAGATAAATATTTGTCATTGCGATTTTCAGAATTTTGATTTGTTATGACACATTCATTTGATATATGGTTGGTTGCTTAGGTGACTTTCAAAAAATTATTCACTTCAGAAATCAAGTAAGTTAGTCCAGTGAACAGAGAGGGGTTAACTCACAAATTATCGAAATAAAGGGTATTTCATTAAGGGCTTCCCATCTTCAAATTTGAATAAAACAAAGTGTGTATGTAAGATATAATCGAAATTTTTTGAAACACCTATTGATGCCATTATGTGTGGGATATAACATCGTTGAAATGTCCGCCACGTCTTCTTTGGCTGGAGCGCATCCACGTAAAATTTTCTATGACCTCGGCGCATAAATCAGGCTGAATTTAACCGATGGCATGGATTATGTTGACTTTGAGGGCCGCTTTGGTTTTTGGCTCATTTGCATACACCTACGACTTGTGAAAACCCCACAAGAAGTAGTGTAACGGGCTGAAATCGCACAATCCCGGTGTCCATTTCAAATCACCTCCACATAAGATGACCAGATCATACAATTCAAGCCAAAAGAAGTTGGTGATCACAAAATACTGCTGAGAAAGCTCCAACGTTATCGTTGCAGAGCTGTAATTCACAAATGGTTCGATTCCCACTTGATGGGACGAACGCAAATGGTCAACACATCTCAACTTTCAAAAAAAAAAAAGGAAATTAATTCTGGAGTTCCACAAGGTTCTGTGTTAGGTCCCATTCTTCTCTTATTATATATTAATGATCTCACCAAGCTTGATATTTCTGAAAAGTTCACCTTATTTGCAGGTGACACTACCATACTTTGGAATAATAAAACACTTGTGAGTTGGACAAAATAATCTCTGCTGACTCGAAAAAAGTTAAAGATTGGTGTGATTCAAACATTTTATCTTTTACCGTAACTAAAACAAATTAATTATCATTTAGATGCTCAATCAACGAACTTTTTTTTGAAGACAGATCACTAGAATCTAAAAATATCACTGAATTTCTAGGAGTCTTCATTGACCAGAATTTAAAATTTGTGGATCACGTTAAACAACTCACTAGAAAAGTCTCCTCTGGCTGTTATGCGGTTAGAGTGATTTATAAAGAATTGGGGTGCAGCACTGCAAAAATGGCGTACTATGCAGTTACGCTACGGATAATAATAATAATAATAATAATACTTTATTACCTTTTAGACAAAAATTACGTTGTATGGTAATCGTCAAGCTTATATAACTACATTTAGCACATGGTACTGTGTTACATGCCAACATTCAGATACTAAAATAAGATAAATAAAATGCAGAAAGGCAACGGAAATGCGTGCTGTCTTTGTGAGGGTAAGGTTGAAATTTTGTATTTTATGAAGAGTTCGTTACAATTTTGTCTTGAAGAGACTCCTGCTATACATCTGATAATTTTTTTCTGCGCTTTAAACACTTTGTCAGCTAGCGCAGATGTTCCCCAGAAACAAAGACCGTATCTCAGTTTTGATTCAGCTAAAGCGTGATATAATTATATTAGTTGGTGTTCATTCATTACAGTTTTAAGATTTTTCAGTTTGTAACTTTCTGAATTCAGGTGAGAGATAATATGTTCATAATGCTTATTGAAATTTAAATGTTCATCCACATAAAGGCCTAAAAATTTTGTGTCTTGTTTTCTCGAAATATTTGTATGATTTGAGCGCAGTGATAAATCTAGATTACATTTTTTTGTCTGTTATGAAAACGAATGAAATTGGTCTTTTCCACGTTAAGCTGCAAGTAATCATCAACGAACCATTCATTTATGTTATTCATAAGAATATTGCATTGTTCGTTAAGAATTGTTTCTTCTCTATTGGAAACAACTATAGATGTACCATCTGCATACAAAGTGTACGAGGCTCCATCATAACTATTTGGAAGATCGTTTATGTAGCAAAGAAATAATATGGGCCCCAAGATGGGACCTTGAGGAACACCAATATTGATTTGGTTTCCATCAGAATTGAAGTGTTCAATGGAATTTCCATCTTGATATCGTAGACTGACATATTGCATCTTATTTCTCAAAAATGATTGTAACCACTATATTTTGATGGATTTTCTCAGGAACTGATTTAAAAAACTCATTAAACATATTGGATACTTCTTTGGGATTCTCTATGGATCTACCATTAAACTCCAAAATCATTTTTTGTTCAACATATTTTTTTGTGTTATTTCAGACAAAGCATGCCATGTTGCCTTATTTTTGTTGGATGCCATCTCTATTTTGTGTTGATAGTATTCTTGTTTGGATTCTTTAATCAATTCTTGGTGTATTTTTTTCTCTTCTAAATATATTTTTTTGAGTTCGGGCAGTAGCCGTGCCAAACTGAGCCACTGAGCCTAAGGATTAAGTAGGGAATGAAAAAAAAATACCAGCGTGGTTCAAACATAACTCGCTGGTATCTCAATCGCCACAAAAGAAATAACCAGGAGAGGAATTTCTGGCAAAAACATAACAATCTGCACTGATAGTAGACAAGCCCTATTAGCCTTGAACAGACAACGAGTTACCTCAGGACTAGTACTAGAGTGCCACCAAGAGTTAGCCACAGCCTTGGTAGGTAATAATATTATCCTGAGGTGAGTTAAAGGGCACGGCAGGAGTAAAGGTGATCGCATTGCCGACCCTTTATTCAAGAAAGCGGCTGGACTAAGAATTTTAGGACCTTTTGACACCTACGACCTGATGACTTCGACAATTGCGGAATTAGCCAAACGTCACACCCATGCTCAAGCCCTAAAGGAATGGGATGGAAGAAGAAGTCTTGCCAGTCTGGGCGACCCTGAGAAGCTGACGCTGAAAAATAACTGGCAATGACCATTAAAATCCTACGCTCAACAGTAGGATTTCTGACTGGCCACTGTCAACTAAAGAAACACCTGTATATTATGGAGCTAGTGGACACACCTCTATAGAGGATGTGTGATCATGAAACTGTCAGGCATGTCCTATGCGAGTGTCCGGAATTATCGTCAATAAGAGAGTGTGTGTTCGGCGAGTCTTGGTCTACACCTGCTGATATAAAGGATATGTCTCCTAGTGACCTGTCTACCTTCCTGGAAAGGACATGATGGAGGACACACCTCTATGCAGGATGTGTGAACAGGAAGATAAAACTGTCAGGCATGTCCTATGCGAGTGTCCGGAATTATCGTCAATAAGAGAGTGTGTGTTCTGCGAGTCTTGGCCTCCTAGTGGCTTGTCTACCTTCCTGGAAAGAACAGGATGGACGATGACCTACGAGGACAACTCCTCGGGAGGATGTACAATGGGTCACATGAGGTCTAAGTGCTGTGTACAGATACATAACATTCCCTCGGAAGCATCAGTAACAGAGGAGTCTCAGAAGACAAAAATTCAAATGTCAATGACCTCATTTGCGTTCCATTTTACGAAAATTTCTGGTAGGAATTTGTTAATTCCAGAAAAAATAAAGAAGTTTTTTTCTAAATATAATATATGTTCATTGTAAAATATGTTATTTCTGTTATTTTATTATACTTTATAGTTAGTTATACTCCCTAATTATAAGCGTTCCTTGTTTCTTGGGACAATAAAGTGAATAAACTAGCCAGGCCGTTCGACGTGGGTGCTTTGTTCACTCACTCACTCGAATCGACTGCCGTGTTGGTCGGTGGTTCAAGCCCCAGTCTGAACGATCGATTTTCACTTGCTATCATTCAACCCGTGTTAGGAATCACACGTTAAAAGTTAAGACCTCGTTAATACCTAACTCGCACATGTTCCAACTTTTAAGGCTTATCGTTCGTAGGGGTGCGACAGCTGGTTAACGAAAAAACAGATTTTAAACAGATCTTTTTAAACTGTTATGGATTTCCGAGATACCCTGTAATTTTTTCGATTCACGAACCTTCAAGCCCTGCTCTCGTTCATTGGCACTGCAACATCCGGTATGTGAAAGTGTCTGAATCCCGTAATTTGGCCACTTCCGTTTGGGAGCGTGTTTGATTGATCCGGCACTCCTTCTATCTAGTACTTGTCGCATACATTCGCAATGGATGCGCGTATTTAAATTCGAGGATCGGTTATCATATAAATCATAGCTACTGTCATTGTTGAACTGTGTCATGTCGACTGTTTATTGATTATCCAATCGTATTGTTACCGATCTGCAGGATATTTATTGTGTTGTATTTTGGCAAAATTGTAATTGTTCGGTAAATAGGATTTCCGAATTGTTACAATAAATAATGGGCTCGACTGGCTCATCTCCTACAAAGGTAGATATTAAATATGTTCAGTGTAAAAGATGAGAATGATAATTTCCACACCAATCCAAAATTTGTGGAGTTTTCTCTTTGTTTGAAAGATTTTTATTCTATATTGATTGAGAAATGGAAAACCAAACTGATATATTCAATTATTGTCAATGCATCGTCTTTTGAAATATCTCAGTTCCATACCACCAAAACACGAAGAACTTCGGATTTATTTTTAAAGAATAAGGTATGAAGGAGGTATTTGAAACAAGTCATAGACTACAGAGCCTTTTAGGAAATCCATAGTCAAATTCGAGAATTCGGAAAAGTCTGGAATTTACGAAACTAAATGTAAGGACTGCGATATAAAATATTATGGACAGACTGAAAGATCTATTAAAATAAGATTTAGGGAACACTTAGCACACCTAAAGTATGGAACACCAGAAAAATCAGCAGTTACCCATTATATTTTGCAACAAAACCATTCCATACACTGGATTCATCTGACTATTAGTTAAGACATTGCAAAATTAATTCAAAAGTAGTAGATGAGGCAACATTTTAAAATTAATTCAAGACGATTAAGACGCAGGTATATCTATTTTATAAATAAGGACACCATTGTATGTATACTTAGTTTAATCTTCCTCTTGAAGATGATTACTTGGTGATCGAAACACAGGTCGAGGTGTTAAAAAAACGGTTTGGTGTTAGGATAACCAGTAATATCCAACCTGTATGTTTAACAATGTAAATATATCAGTTCAAATATCACTTTTCATGAACGAAGAAAGTAAGAAAGTGGAATAAG